CCTGGGCCCAGACATGCTACAGTCTAGCGAGCAAGGCTTTGGGTTCTGTCCCCGGGCTCAGACATACTACACTCTAGTGAGGAAGGCTTTGGGTTCTTTCCCTTGGCCTAGACATACCTGAGTCTAGTAACCAAGGCTTTGGATTCTGTCCCGGGCCCAGACATACCAGAGTCTAGTGAGCAATACTTTGGGTTCTGTCCCTGGGCCCAGACACTACAGAGTCTAGTGAGCAAGGCTTTGGGTTCTGTCCCTTGGGCCCAGACATACACAGTCTAGTGAGCAAGAGGCTTTGGGTTGACCAAGGCTTTGGGTTGTGTCCCTGGGCCCAGACATACCAGAGTCTAGTGAGCAAGGCTTTGGGTTCTGTCCCTTGGCCAGACACATACAGTCTAGTGAGCAAGGCTTTGGGTTCTGTCCCCGGGCCCAGACATACTACAGAGTCTAGTGAGCAAGGCTTTGGGTTCTGTCCCTGGCCCAGACATACCTGAGTCTAGTTAGCAGGGCTTTGGGTTTTGTCCCCGCGCCCATACATACTACAATCTAGTGAGCAAGGCTTTGGGTTCTGTCCCCGGACCGAGACAGACCAGAGTCTGGTGAGCAAGGCTTTGGGTTCTGTCTCTTGGCCCAGACATACCAGAGTATATTGAGCAAGGCTTTGGGTACTGTCCCCGGGCCAAGACATACCAGAGTCTAGTGAGCAAGACTTTGGGTTCTGTCTCCGGGCCCAGACATACCAGAGTCTATTGAGCAAGACTTTGGGTTCTGTCCTTCGGCCGAGACATACTACAGTCTAGTGAGCAAGGCTTTGGGTTTTGTCCCCGCGCCCATACATACTACAATCTAGTGACCAAGTCTTTGGATTCTGTCCACGGGCCGAGACACACCAGAGTCTAGTGAGCAAGACTTTGGGTTCTGTCCTTCGGCCCAGACATACTACAGTCTAGCGAGCAAGGCTTTGGGTTCTGTCTCCGGGCCCAGACATACTACACTCTAGTGAGGAAGGCTTTGGATTCTGTCCCTGGGCCCAGTCATACCACAGTCTAGTGAGGAAGGCTTTGGGTTCTATTCCCGGGCCGAGACATACCAGAGTCTGGTGAGCAATGATTTGGGTTCTGTCCCTTGGCCTAGACATACCTGAGTCTAGTGACCAAGGCTTTGGGTTCTGTCCCCGGACCGAGACACACCAGAGTCTAGTAGGCAAGGCTTTGGGTTCTGTCTCTTTACTCAGACATACCAGAGTCTATTGAGCAAGACTTTGGGTTCTGTCCTTCGGCCCAGACATACTACAGTCTAGTGAACAAGGCTTTGGGTCTGTCCTGGGCCAGACATACCAGAGTCTAGTGAGCAAGGCTTTGGGTTTTGTCTCTGAGCCGAGTCACACCAGAGTCTAATGAGCAAGGCTTTTGGTTCTGTCCCTGGGCCCATACATACCGGAGTCTAGTAAGCAATACTTTAAATGCTGTCCACGGACCGAGACACACCAGAGTCTTGTCATCAAGGCTTTGGGTACTGTCCTCGGGCCCAGACATTTTACAGTCTAGTGAGAAAGGCTTTGGGTTCTGTCCCTGGGCCCAGACATACTACAGTCTAGCGAGCAAGGCTTTGGGTTCACCCGGGCTCAGACACACCAGAGTCTGGTGAGCAAGGTTTGGGTTCTGTCTCCGTTCCCAGACAAACCAGAGTCTAGTGAGCAAGGCTTTGGGTTCTATCTCTGGGCCGAGACATACCAGAGTATATTGAGCATGGCTTTCGGTACTGTCAGAGTCTATTGCCCAGACATTCTACACTCTAGTAAGGAAGGCTTTGGGTTCTATCCCCGGGCCCATATAATCTACAGTCTAGTGAGCAAGGCTTTGGGTTTTGTCCCCGCGCCCATACCTACTACAATCTAGTGACCAAGTCTTTGGATTCTGTCCACGGGCCGAGACACACCAGAGTCTAGTGAGCAAGGCTTTGGGTTCTGTCCTCGGACCGAGACACACCAGAGTCTGGTGAGCAATGATTTGGGTTCTGTCCCCTGGCCCATATATACTACAGTCTAGTGAGCAAGACTTTGTGTTCTGTCTCCTGGCCCAGACATACTACACTCTAGTGACCAAGGCTTTGTATTCTGTCCCAGGGCCGAGACAGACCAGAGTCTAGTGAGCAAGACTTTGGGTTATGTCTCCTGGCCCATACATACTACAATCTAGTGACCAAGGCTTTGGGTTCTGTCCCCGGACCGAGACAGACCAGAGTCTAGTGAGCAAGACTTTGGGTTCTGTCTCCGTTCCCAGACAAACCAGAGTCTAGTGAGCAAGACTTTGGGTTATGTCCCCGCGCCCATATATACTACAGTCTAGTGAGCAAGACTTTGTGTTCTGTCTCCGGGCCCAGTCATACCACAGTCTAGTGAGGAAGACTTTGTGTTCTGTCTCCGGGCCCAGACATACTACACTCTAGTAAGGAAGGCTTTGGGTTCTATCCCTAGTGGGCAAGGCTTTGGGTCATGACCCTACAGTCTAGTGAGCAAGACTTTAGTGAGTCTAAGGAAGACTTTGGGTTCTGTCTCCGGGCCCAGACATACTACACTCTAGTGAGGAAGGCTTTGGGTTCTGTCCTCGGACCGAGACACACCAGAGTCTAGTGGGCAAGGCTTTGGGTCATGTCCCCGCGCCCAGATATACTAGAGTCTGGTGAGCAATGATTTGGGTTCTGTCCCCTGGCCCATATATACTACAGTCAAGTGAGCAAGACTTTGGGTTCTGTCTCCTGGCCCATACATACTACAATCTAGTGACCAAGGCTTTGGGTTCTGTCCCCGGACCGAGACAGACCAGAGTCTAGTGAGCAAGACTTTGGGTTCTGTCTCCGTTCCCAGACAAACCAGAGTCTAGTGAGCAAGACTTTGGGTTATGTCCCCGCGCCCATACATACTACAATCTAGTGAGTAAGGCTTTGGATTCTGTCCCTTGGCCGAATCACACCAGAGTCTAGTGAGCAATACTTTGGGTTCTGTCCCCGGGCTCAGACACACCAGAGTCTGGTGAGCAATGTTTTGGGTACTGTCCCCTGGCCCATATATACTACAGTCTAGTGAGCAAGACTTTGTGTTCTGTCTCCGGGCCCAGACATACTACACTCTAGTGAGGAAGGCTTTGGGTTCTATTCCCGGGCCGAGACATACCAGAGTCTGGCTTTGTATTCTGTCCCTGGGCCCTGACAAACCAGAGTCTGGTGAGCAATGATTTGGGTTCTTTCCCTTGGCCTAGACATACCTGAGTCTAGTAACCAAGGCTTTGGATTCCGTCCCAGGGCCAAGATATACTACAGTCTAGTGAGCAGGGCTTTGGGTTTTGTCCCCGCGCCCATACATACTACAGTCTAGTGAGGAAGACTTTGTGTTCTGTCTCCTGGCCCAGACATACTACACTCTAGTGACCAAGGCTTTGTATTCTGTCCCAGGGCCAAGACATACTACAGTCTAGTTAGCAAGGCTTTGGGTTTTGTCCCCGCGCCCATACATACTACAATCTAGTGACCAAGGCTTTGGGTTCTGTCCCCGGACCGAGACAGACCAGAGTCTAGTGGGCAAGGCTTTGGGTTCTGTCCCCGCGCCCATATATACTACAGTCTAGTGACCAAGGCTTTGGGTTCTCTCCCCTGGCCCATATATACTACAGTCTAGTGAGCAAGACTTTGTGTTCTGTCTCCTGGCCCAGACATACTACACTCTAGTGAAGAATGCTTTGGGTTCTATTCCCTTGGCCTAGACATACCTGAGTCTAGTGACCAAGGCTTTGTATTCTGTCCCAGGGCCAAGACATGCTACAGTCTAGTGAGCAGGGCTTTGGGTTTTGTCCCGGCGCCCATACATACTACAATCTAGTGAGCAAGGCTTTGGGTTCTGTCCCCGGGCCCATATATACTACAGTCTAGTGAGCAAGGCTTTGGGTTCTGTCCCCGGGTCCAGACACACCAGAGTCTTGTGAGCAAGGCTTTGCGTTCTGTCCTTGGGCCCAGACATACTGCAGTCTAGTGAGCAAGTCTCTGGGTTCTATCCCTTGGCCAAACCACACCAGAGTCTTGTGATCAAGGCTCTGAGTTCTATCCCCGGGCCGAGACATACCAGAGTCTGGCTTTGGATTCTGTCCCTGGGCCGAGACAAACCAGAGTCTAGTGACCAAGGCTTTGGATTCTGTCCCTGGGCCATGACAAACCAGAGTCTAGTGACCAAGGCTTTGGGTTCTGTCCCCGGACCGAGACACACCAGAGTCTAGTGGTCAAGGCTTTGGGTTTTCTCCCCGGACCGAGACACACCAGAGTCTTGTGAGCAAGGCTTTGGGTTCTGTCCCTTGGCCCAGACAAACCATGGCATATTGAGCAAGATGTTGGGTATTTGAATTCTGTAACATTGAATATTAACCAAGATAATCAAATTTCGCAGAATATGTCGGGTATTTTCCAATGACCCTATTGCACAATTAATGCCATGACATCAAATTATTCCTCGTTAGAAGTCGTTGCAAAAGGAAATGTTGCCACGGACGTTTAGACAAACGGTCTGGCGGTTTGACGAAGGACGCCGCGCCACAGCATATGCTCATTTAGAGCCTCGAGGTAGGTGAGTTTATAGTACATTGTTTCTGATACAAACTTTACGTAATATCTGAGACTTTAATTCAAAATGTTTACAAAGAAATATCTGTTAGATATTTCAATTGTTGCAGAAATGGTTTGTAAAGACGTAGTTGATGAAAATCACTTTAAATGTTCCTGCATTATTTTGGTAATGTATCTGAAACAACTGTCAGGAATATCGAGGTAAAGAACTCAGAGATTGATGATCCGATGGTAGACATAGTAATCAGATTATGGGACAATTTGAAGTCTAAACATACTGGAAGCGGATGTAGAAAGTGATAACATTACTTTTTTCAAAGATGATTTTCATATATTGATTGGTCTTTGATAGAATTTTCATTTTTCTGTATCATTTACTAAATTCACCAAGAACGTACCCGAATCAGAAAAGGCCCAATGATCCTGTAGAGAAGACACAAAGGAAAATATAACCAGGATTCCCACCATTAAATCAGCTGTTGCTAAGGAAATGAAGAAGTTTCCCGAGGGAGTCCTCAATGATTTTGTTCTTAAGGTCACCACAATATTAAGCACGTTCCCGAGAGTAGTACACACCATTATAATAAAGATAAAGATCACCTTCACATAAAACGAGTAAAAATGATGGTCGGCAATTTCCGTATTCTGTTCGGTAAAGTCCGTATAATCATTGTATGTCGTTTTCGGTAACGTATCCTCAGTGGTATGCACATAAACGCCAAGTTGTGGTGGTTGCCATGGTCTTGAAAACCTAGTCACGTGATCTGCGGACATTAGGATCACATCAACTGCTCCAATTTTTTTAACAGAATGAAGATGCTCGTCAGTTCGGACAGCATGAGCCCACTGAAAAATCGTAGAGAAATATTCACTTAATGATAAAATAGCTGACATCTATCCGTTGTTGTATCCAGCTGACATAATCCTACCACCAAAGTTAGGATACACAAGTCTTCACATTATATGTGGTTTAAACGCCACTAAAATGAATTGGTTCCATCCTAATCTGTGTCTTGTGGGACGAAATTTAATTAGGTGTGGTGTCTCGTTGTAAATGCCATCAGATTTATGTATCCTAATCCATTTCAATGAAATCAACTTGTAAATTGGATTCCTGTACATCGACATCTAAAGCGCTGACCTTTAACTTAGCGTGTACATACGGTAAATGTTTATACTCAACCTACAAGTATGATACACTTATAGCTATTACAACACTCACGTAACTGCCTATGTACACATCTGAATGTTTAATGTAAATTTACAGATGTCACTTAATCACAAGAAGAGCGTCTTAATTTTAAAACAGCTTTTAGATTTATCAGAAATATCTTTTTACTGCACGAGTTTTATATTACCGTCAGGTTAATTATATATTTTGAAACGTACTTAAAGGAAAAACCAACATTTTTTTAAATACCTGACAAGGATAACTCGTAGACAAATATATAACTTAACACAAAACACACTAAACATGTACTTACTATGGACGCATATTTAGTTCGGTCAGTGACGCCATAGATCGCTGTATCTCTGTGACACATTTCATGACCATTCGCAGCTGACCATTTTTGACTTAAGTTTAACCCTTTTGACCTCAGCTTCAATGACGTAATCGATTATTTTGCATTCCACTGCGGACATCCTCTGCTGACGTAATACTCAAGAAAACACGTGGCATCCCCTACAGCTGTAATCAGGTTACATTCAATTCAGTATCTGCCCGAATATCGATTGATGATAAATTGACTAACCAACTGTAATATTTTTATTTTATCTTTATTTCCGGCAAAACATCATTAAAAAGAAATCCTTTGAAAGTATTGTCACCTTTAAAAAGGGAAAAAATGACATTTTCGTTGTTTCGGAACATTTTCTTCAGAGTGGTAAGGTCAACAGAAGAAACGTTCACAAGCAGTGGTGTGATAGTCCGTGACTAATGATCACCGACACAATCGTGCTGACGTAGGTAGAATTCAAATTCTTTTGAATCAAAGCACATATGCAAACTACGTTTGGTGATTTTTTATCTTAACAATGATTCAAGTTCAGAAAGTACTAAGCTACACTTTACTTTTCGAACGCCAAATCGACGTAAACAATTTGTTCCTTCTTGTTAACAACTATTAATTGTCGCGTGGAATTGGACTTCAAGGTCACAATGTACAGTTTGTATTTTATAAGGAATACAACAAAATGGCGAGTACACATCGACCTTCCTCCTGACATTGTACTGCTCTCTCAGTAACGTAGGATCTCGGTACGATTTGTAACCAATTTCAATATGCTACTCTATGTGAGTATGTATGTGTTTTTTTCAAATATTGAAGTGATATCAAAACGAGGCTAGAATGTGGCGAGCCATCCAACTATATACACTTGTGAATTCAATCAACCATCAAAATTCTGATGCAGTAATGCAGCATTTCTGTAAGATTGTAAAAGACACACAATAACTCCTGTCAATACAGAACTATATACCGTCATGTCATGAATCAAACGAGCGATAGGAATGCCCCGTCCCACTTGGACACCCCAGGAATTCTAAGGGCTAAATGCTGGACACGTGGGAGCGACTGGGAGATATCAAAATTAGTCGACAGAAATATAAAAAGATCTTGACAGTGCACCGAGTCAGTTCATTTGGTTCAGTTGGTCGGTCTAAAACGTGTTAACCGTGTCTAAATGTAGAACATTTTCCTCCTGAAAAAGCAATGTCGCTGGCTTTATTTCAATTAAAGCCGAAAAAATGTACAATAAAATGCAAAATAACCAGATTATTCCTTAATATATAACCTTTTGTAATCCCGAAGATATATTGATCATTGAAATGACATTCTACCAAGTCTTCAATACCATCAAGTAATACTCTTATATCACTAGTACTATCAGGTAAGCAAACACTCCCTACTGGTATGAGTTATAAAAAGTTGTATTGAAAACAACAAGCTTAGATCGATCCATTCTGCGATTCCTCCTTGGGACTCCTATATACCGGACGTTTGACAATGTCTGTCGTCGGACCTTGGGACTCCTATATACCGGACGTTTGACAATGTCCCTTGTCGGACCTTGGGACACATATGTCGGACATTTGACAATCTCCCTCGTCGGACCTTGGGACACATATGTCGGACATTTGACAATGTCCCTTGTCGGACCTTGGGACACATATGTCGGACATTTGACAATCTCCCTCGTCGGACCTTGGGACTCATGTATATCGGACGTTTGACAATGTCCCTTGTCGGACATTGGGACTCCTATATATCGGATGTTTGACAATGTCCCTTGTCGGACATTGGGACTCCTATATATCGGATGTTTGACAATGTCCCTTGTCGGACCTTGGGACTCCTATATATCGGATGTTTGACAATGTCCCTTGTCGGACATTGGGACTCCTATATATCGGATGTTTGACAATGTCCCTTGTCGGACATTGGGACTCCTATATATCGGATGTTTGACAATGTCCCTTGTCGGACATTGGGACTCCTATATATCGGATGTTTGACAATGTCCCTTGTCGGACATTGGGACTCCTATATATCGGATGTTTGACAATGTCCCTTGTCGGACATTGGGACTCCTATATATCGGATGTTTGACAATGTCCCTTGTCGGACATTGGGACTCTTATATGTCGGACGTATTACGCTGTAGTTCCAAGGAGATATACCAAACGGGACTAAGATCGTACCTCATATAGACACTGACTCTAACATTTTTGGTCCAATTTTATTTTTCATTCTTTTTGGTTTCTTTTAGCAAACTTGTACCAATTTTGGGGATACGGTTTTTAATCGCGTTTAATCTGATCACACTGGATTAGGTCCAGCCTAAACGTTGGTACGTGTGAGCACTGTTTCAAATTACATTTGAATTAAGCCAGAGAAACGCTCAGGATTTGGTGCCTTTTGTTTCATGTAGCAACTTTGACGATCTGTAAAAAAATAACACATGACACATATCCATGATATTTTTTCTGATAATCTGTTTTCTTCTGATTGGCTTTACCTGTCCGAATTTGCCGAATAGAAAATTCAATATTACTTTTTATTGTTGGTCATATATTTAAGTTGGATCGGGTACTTACACATCATACCTGTTTAGATGAGAAGTTAAGATATTGCTTCTTCAAAAGATGAGAGGCACATCGAAAACAAACTTAATCTTTCCAACGTTAAAACACTACGACACTGTGTTGAGCCTGTTCGTGTTTAGGCGATCAAACATTTAAAGACAGTAAGTCGGCTACATGCTTTGCAGCTCATAGTGAACTGTTCATTTTGTAAATATCTTGTTATTTATTAGCTAAATCTCAAACGATGAGACATCCCTTATGAACCAAACATCGCTTAATGGTATGAAACAGAACGCCTTAGGTATATGTTATAGTGGCCGATAAGATATCTTTTTTTTTTTTTTTTTTGATTTTTTTTTTCAAGAGTTTTTAATGTACATGACAATTACATCAACAAAACATCATCAAACATACAACATACAATATGCTCACTCACACATCACCATAATCTCGATTAAGTTGTATCATCATCATCATCATCATCATCATCATTATCATCATCATCACCACCATAATCATCATCATCATCATCATCATCATCATCATCATCATCATCATCATCGTAATCATCGTAATCATCATCATCATCATCATCATCATCATCATCATCATCATCATCATCCATACATGCACATACATACATCATCATCATCATCATCATCATCATCATCATCATCATCATCATCATCATCATCATCATCCATACATGCACATACATACATCATCATCATCATCATCATCATCATCATCATCATCATCATCATCCATACATCATCATCATCATCATCATCATCATCATCATCATCATCATCATCATCATCATCATCATCATCATCATCATCATCATCGTAATCATCATCATCATCATCATCATCTTCATCATAAACATTACCTCATCATCATTATCCTCCTCATTATAAACATTACCTCCTCATCATAATCATCAGTCATCATGATCTCAATCAAGTAATCATGTCAATACATTCTTCATCATTGTCATATTCAATATGCCTTTGTCACCACCTTCATGTCAATAGATTCATCCTCAGCATTCATTATCATATATGCACCTCATCATCAACCTAACTATCAACACAATTTGTCATTATAACTTGAAATCCATCCATACATCATCGCCTGGCATTTTCATCAACACCCTTACTAACATCACAACACTACCCTTACACACCCACTCCTACACATACATCAATACTTCACATAAAGATAAAGAGGAGAGACAAAGAGAGAAGAGAGAGAGAGAGGGGGGGGGAGAGAGAGGTGATCTGGGTTAGTAAAAATTGCAATAATCAGCGAAACAATAGGGACTCGAGTATAAAGAAAAATACCTGGTAAATAAATAAATAAATGAATAAATAAATAAATACTATAAGGGTAAGCAAGGGGCCTGCTATACTGTAAAGACAGAGAATACTAAAATACGGTAAAACATACTACATGACAGTAAATGTATTTAAAGTTAAGAATTGGCCAATTCCAAAAATTTTCTCCATTTTCTCCATTCCTCATTAAAACTTAACTGTGCCTGTTCACCTTTACTATTGGCAATATATTTCTGAAAGGTATAAAATTCCCTGACTGAATAAATAAGACTATATACACTTAAGGCTTTGTGTTGACATCTTGCCTTATATATGTAATATTTAATGATAATTAAGATTTCATTGTCAAGTTTGCTACTGATTAACTGATTTTTATTAGCAATGAAACCAAACAGAAAACTTATTTTATTGAAGGAAAATGGAATAAAAAGAGCCTCCAGCAAAACTTCTACACTTTCTAAAGATTTTTGAACTTCTGGACATTCCCACATGATATGAATAATTGTCTCCTTTTCTAAGTTACAGAATGTACAGTGTGGGTTATTCAGTAGTCGAATTTTAAACATATATAAATTTGTTGTTAATATGTGTTGAACCACTCTGTACTGAAACCATTGAAGTTTTGTATTTTTTGTTGCACGAAAACAATTTTTATAAATATCCCT